CTTGAACTGAACAGCTTGATTTTAAAAAGGGGTCTAAATTGTTCCAAAGTCCAATAGTTCTGTAATAAAATGTTCTTTGTCCTGAGGCATATCTCAGTGTCATTCACTTATAAGATTCAAGACTTAGTGTTTTCAAATTTAGTCATGATCAACAATATTCGAATAAATTTAGGAACTCAATTAGTTAATGGTTTTAAATAAACGAAGATCCACAATTTGACTCATATAAAGTTACTCCTAATTACATGTCATAATGAAACAGAAAAGGAGTTTTAATTTTGTTTTTCATATGATTGTAAGCTAAAGATTTCAAGGAGATATTAAATCGTTTTCTTAGTTTTAAAACAGAAAGAAAGAAATTCGAATAATACAACACGCTTAGGCACGTCAAAACAGACTTGACTTACGAATTGAATTAATTATGGATGATGTTTGTCTTTTTGCTTCGCTCAATAACTGAAAAATCTTTCCTGCCCACTACTAGTCTTTCTAACATCAAGAGGTATCATACAACCGTGAAAAACACTTTCTTTTATCCCCTAATCATTGTTCTACCGACATGCAACTCATTCCTGTTGGAAAAATATTTTTTTCTAGAGGCTCTGTTGAGCCAGGCACGTCTGGAAAACCACTCTAATTAACCAGCTAGACTAAAACACTTGAATCAACCTCCTGTCAACTTATCCAACGTATATGTTATTACACTGTAATTTCGCGATCGATACCCTAAAAAAGTGCTTGCTTGCAAAATACTTTGTTATCTTGCTCTGACTGTATGCCTGAAGAATACTGGTAGTGGGTAGTGTATGAGATCAAGTTAAATTCTATGTTGTCTAGGCTTTGCTTAATTTTTCTTTTAATATTTCTTTTGAAAATTTTATTGGACAGCAAGAAATATCCGTCACCTTATACCCCGTGACCTGTCTAATTGCGTAGTAGTATTATATGGGTAAATGGACCTTCACGTCTATCACTGTGATAAATTACGTATACTGACAGCTTATTAGCTATAGGAGTGGCAGAGCTATTTAAAAGCCACGTATACGAAGGCAAAGAAGCATTACTCCTCGCACCGAGAAGATACCACAGATCTCACTGATGGCTACTTTATGGCATACTCAGTTGGTAATTGTCACTCTCAACATTTTCCTGGTTGCCTTATTTGTGGCGGCGAACAAAGACTTTTGTAGTGTTTTTGAAACTCAACTCGGTAAGTAATCACATAGCACATAACTAGAGCGGTCATTGGAAGTTTTGTTTAGATCTCTTCGTAGGATATTTTACATCAATGAAACTTTTATTTTTCTGTTGTTTTCAGACCATGCTTTAGTTGGTCACATCATGAGGACAGCTGCTGTTGTTGACGAGTTTGAATGTCAGCTGAAATGCATTGGAAATAACAGCTGCAAGTCTTTTAATACTCATCTCGATGGCAACAGTGCCAAACCATTCAAATGCGAGCTAAATAGCAAAACACGACAAATGAAGTCAGGAGATTTTAAATGGAGGAAAGGATCTATATACTATGGCTCTGTACAGGTCAGTTTTTTCCCTTTAAGGTGGCTAGAGATCACTATTTAGTACTATTAAGTGATGTTGCAATATTGGTATCACGCAAATACCATAATTATGTTCACAGTTATGTTCATGGCATAATATCGTGCTATAGCAAGAGTCGAACCTGTGTAAACACCTTGAACTTTAGCTTTGAATGCTTATAACTCAAAACTGAGCTCGGTGACTCCCATTTTATTCTTTTATGGAGCTGTTAGGGTTAAGATTAGGGTTATTAGCATGTCAACATACAACTCTTTGGAAACAACTCTGTGGAACAAACAATTCTGTGGAGCGAGCTCAGAGCCACCTAAAATTTCGGCAATTTGGACCCTGAGACCCTATAGAACTACACGATACTGCCTTGACTGTTGTAGTGAAATAATATATATACAGCAGCGAGATAACTCTTATAATTGTCTCAACTTAACTCAGGTCTCCTGCATGGATGTTTCCCGTGATCAGAATGGACCAACAAAGAGAGGTCAGTGTCGTCCGGAGTACCAGGAAAAACAGACGTTGTAGGTTCTTTGGTTATCAATCAAAGGTCTTTTATGGAAAAAGTCCTGGAGTCATTTGTGAATAAAAAGTTATGTAGTAAGAAAGACAACCGTAGGGTTGTAGATTACCACTATCCCCTTCCCCCCTCCTGCATACCTTCAAGGATATTCAAGCAAACAAAATGCAACCTGGAGGGTGTAGTAAGCTACGTAGAAACATCTTTCTTTTGTTAGAAGCTACATATCCTTGTAAAGCAGCAGTTATTACTTGAAATATATTCTTTTTATCCAAGCAACCTAGAATGATGAATTATATCACATGGTAATAAGTTCATGAGATCCAAACACCAAAAATTACTCCAAAGTAATAAAAATCGATAAACCATCGCGAAGAAGCACTAAAATGTACAAAACAACTGCATGAAAGTTAAATTTTGTTTCCTAAAACAAAAAATGCAAAATTTGGAAAAGAATACAGAACATGGTTGCCATAGAAAACATTAAGTTCTGAGAACGATGAAATTTTAATACCAAATTTAACATTACGTTGCGAAGTTTGGAACTCTTTATTTAAATAGTGCGAGAGTTTCTACCCCTCCCCAACTCTCCGACCCCCACCTCCCATTCATTCTAATGGGATTCCTTTGGAAATCTGACACGAGCTCATATTGTGTATATCAGTAAAAATGCTTGCAAGCTTCACCTGAACGTTCGGAAGCGGGATATTCCCAACAACTGTCTCCAAGATATTTTAGCGCTTAAATTTTTATTTATTTTTTTTTTCAACAGATTGCCTAGATCTGCTTAAATCAGGCCATACTCAGAGTGGAGAGTACTTTGTCAATCCAGACGGTAGAGGAAAATTCAAGGTCTACTGTGACATGCGCACTGACGGTGGAGGCTGGACTGTGTTTCATAGAAGACAGGATGGCTCGGTAGACTTTTATCGTGGATGGAATGATTACAAAGCAGGCTTTGGCCAGGTGTCTGGAGAGTTTTGGCTCGGAAATGACAAGATTCATAGGCTAACAGCCTCTCGACCCGGTTCTTTGCGAGTAGAGCTGGAGGACTGGAACAGAGTTAGAGTGTTTGCGAAATACGGCAAGTTCAATATTGGTGATGAATATGCGCAGTATCGACTTGAAGTGGGTTTATATTCAGGGACAGCAAAAGATTCATTAGGATATCATGATAACATGGCTTTTACCACAAAAGACAGAGATAATGACAAAGATAGGTCTAACAACTGTGCAGTTAGATGTACCGGTGCCTGGTGGTACAAACGTTGCCAACACTCCAATCTAAATGGGCAATACTTGGGAGAAAACAAAAGAAATTGGCAAGGTGTTAGATGGTATCACTTCAGAAAGAGTCTTTCACTTAAATTCGCTGAGATGAAAATAAGGTTGTTATTGTAGAAATAATATCAAAACGGCGATATTGTTACTGAAGTCATTGTTTATATTTGGCCTTAGTGTAAAGAAGACGTTATGCTTAATACGAATTGACTCCAAACATTTAAAAAACTATTAACAGTTAGTAATTGATGACATTTTCGCGTGTAATGTAGGTTAAGACGGTGTTGAGAAAAGCAGACTTTGTAGGTGGCCAGAGTACCAATGAACTTATACTCTTTGTAAATTTTTGAATTTTAAAAAGGCGTTACACAACAAGTATTGAATACATCGGGGTCAGAGTCGAACGGCTTGTTAACCGTACCACGCTCTGTCGATATTAAGTTATATTTTGGTACCTTGGCCAGAAACTGAGTGAGCGCCTATGCTAATGATCAAGGAAAAAGTTGTAAACTAGGATTCGGCTTTATATTTATAAGGCTTAATGCTGTTATCAGAGTTGTACGAACCTCTCGATTAAAACCTGACGTTTCATTATCCTTTTTCTTAAAAAAAAACAAAACAAAACAATGATGAAATCATGAAGGTTGTTTAGTTGGATTAAATAAATGTCTACAAAACTCGGTCGGGTAAAAGACTCGGACCGGCAACTCGGATCGCTGTTTAAAATAAGAGGGGTAGCTATTGCATATGTCTCGTTCTTAAATACCTGCCATAATTCTCAGAGAAAGCAATTGCGAACTTTATACTGCCTCCCCATATATTCTTCACTTCAAACGTCATCTAGCACATATAACTGGATCCTCGGTGATGGAAAGCAATGGTCAAAACAGTTGAGTGCTATTGGTAATATATGGTTTTGTCCATTAATTTATCTCGGTAAAGTAAATAATTCGCTGTAAATTTTGTGCACATTCCGTATTTTGGGCCCGAAATTAAAATATTTTAACAGCTATTAAAGAAAGAAAGTGAGGGTAAAAAGTTACCTCAATTGCTTGGGCGATTGTTTCTTTTGAATAATGAACATAAAAGAACTATCTGCATTATTTTTCACTTCTTCAGCCCAAACAAAAGTAATATTAAAAAGCTCTGACATTTAGCGATGACTGCCTCCTCCACAGGCTTTTCTTATTTTTTTTTCTTAGCGCAAAGGGCGATTGGGAGACTGGGCGACTGGAGACGTGGCAGTAGCGATGATGTCATTCTTAGCAACAGGTTGATTGATGTTGTTGTCGTATCCAGCAACCTCCACAAATGAATACCTTATTATAGGAAATTAGCGCTTTATGAAATTAACGCGAATTTAAAAAATTCGCGTCAATTTATGTTAATGTTAATTTCCGCGCTGTGTTAATAATTAAGTTGCGCGTTAATTTCCGCGACGTTAATTACCATTATTTTCCCCCAAATCTGTGACACACTTCAGACATTCTTGACACAGCCAAACAATAAATTTTATTCGCGCACTTAACATTTCACATCAGTCTTTCA